GAGGGAGGGGTAGAGGGGTAGGGGGGGGGGGGTCAGAGAGAGAGGGCAGCAAGAGAAAGGAGGCAGCAAGAGAGAAAAAGAGGGTAACAAGACAGAGGGGGCAGAGAGTAAGAGAGAGGGGACCAGAGAGAAAGGTGGGGCAGAGGGAAGGGGGAAGAGAGAGGCAGGTGCAGAGGGAGAGGTATGGTAGAGATGGGGGGGTGGCAGAGAGAGGTGGGGGCAGAGAGATAGAGAGAGGGACAGAGAGAGACAGGAGGAGTGGGGGGACAGAGAGAGGCAGAGTAAGAGAGAAGAGGTCCGAAAGAAGGGCAGCAAGAGAGAAAGGGGGGGCAGAGATAAAAGGGAGAAAGGGGGGGCCGAGAGAGAGACAAGGGGCAGCGAGAAAGAGAGGGCAGAGAGAGAGGGGAGCAGGGGGGGCAGAGACACAAAGATGGGAAGGGGGGGGACAGAAAGAGATCGGTGGGGCAGAGCGAGAGGGACAGAAAGATGGCAGGGGCAGAGAAAAAGGGGCAAAGAGAAAGAGTAAGGGCAGATGGGGGGAGAGAGAGATGGGGGACATAGAAGAGGGGCAGAGATAGAGATATGAGCACAGAGAGAGGGGGAAGAGAGAGAGAGAGGGGGCAGAAAGAGGGGGGCAGAGAGGGAGGGCAGAGAGAGCGAGGAGGAAGCGGGGGGGGGGGGAGAAAGAGGGGGGCAGAGAGAGTGAGGAGGAAGGGGGAGGCAGAAGGGGAGGGGCAGAGAAAGAGAAGGCAAAAAGAGGAGGGGGAGAGGAGATAGAGAGAGAGAGATACAGATAGAGATAGAGGGCATGGATAAGAGAGAGACAGAGGAGGGGGACAAGACAGAGGAGGGGGAGCAGAGAGAGATAGACAAGGAGGACAAGAGAGAGATAGACAAAGGGGATGAGAGAGAGAGGAGAGGGACGTGAGAGAGACAGAGAGAGGAGGGAGACGAGAGAGGAGGGGGAGCAGAAGTAAAATAGAGGAAGGGGAGAAGAAGAGAGATAGAGCAGGGGGACAAGAGAGAGACAGAGGAGAGGGATGAGAGATAGAGGAGGGATCTAGATAGAGGGGAACAAGAGAGAGACAGAGGATGGGGAGCAAAAGACAGACAGAGGAGGGGGACAAGAGAGGGACAGAGGAGGTGGCCAAGAGTGAGATAGAGGAGGGGGCCAAGAGAGAGAGAAAGGAGGAAGAGCAGAAGAGAAACAGATGAGGAGGACAAGAGAAAGAGACAGGAGGAGAACGAGAGTGACAAGAGAGGAATACAGAAGGGACACAAGAGAGGGATAAAGGAGGGGGAGGAGAGATAGAGGATGCGGACAAAGAGACAGAGGAGGGGTCAACACAGATAGACAAGGGGTACAAGGGAGAGATAGACAGGGGGTACAAGGGAGAGATTGAGGAGAGGGAGAAAAGATAGAGAAACGGAACAAGAGAAAATACAGGAGGGAGACAAAAGAAAGAGGAGAGGGACAAGAGAGAGATAGAAGAGGTGCACAAAAGATAGAAGAAGGGGACAAGAAAAAGATAGAGGAGGAATCTAGAGAGAGATAGAGGAGGGGGAGCAGAGACAGGAGGTGGAGGGATCTAGAGATAGATGAGGAGGACAAGAGTGAGATATAGGAGGGGGCCGAAAGAGAGGAAGGGTAAGAGAGATAGAGGAGAGGGACAAAAAAAGGTAGAGAAGG